AGGTCTAATCCTTGCCTGGGTCGCTCCAGATTGGTTCCTGACTTACGACTCGCCAGCACCAAACCTGAGCCCGAGATCAGTCACTCGGCCCACAGGTCCAATCCTTGCCCGGGTCACTCCAGATCGGCTCCCGACTTGCAACTCGTCGGCACCAAACCTGAGCCCGAGATTAGTCACTCGACCCATAGGTCCTATCCTTGCCTAGGTCACTCTAGATCGATTCTCGACTTACGACTCGCTGGCACCAAACCTGAGCACGAGATCAGTCACTCGGCCCACAGGTCCAATCCTTGCCCGGGTCGCTCTAGGTTGGTTCCCGACTTGCGACTTGTCGGCACCAAACCTAAGCCCAAGATCAGTCACTCGGGCCACAAGTCTAATCCTTGTTTGGGTCGCTCCAGATCGGTTCTCGACTTGCGACTCATTGGCACCAAACCTGAGCCCAAGATCAGTCACTCAGCTCACAGGTCCTATCCTTGCCCGGGTTGCTCCAGATCGGTCCTCGACTTGTGACTTATCGACACCAAACCTAAGCACAAGATCAGTCACTCGGCCCATAGGTCCAATCCTTGCCTAGGTCGCTCTAGATTGGTTCCCAACTTGTGACTCGTCGATACCAAACTAAGTTCGAGATCAGTCACTCGGCCCACAGGTCCAGTCCTTGCTCGAGTCATGCCAAATCGTCTCGACTTATGACTCGTTGGCACTAAACCTGAGCACGAGATCAGTCACTCAGCCCATATGTCCAATCCTTGCCCAGGTCGCTCCAGATCGATTCTCGACTTACGACTCGTCAACACCAAACCTAAGCCCGAGATTAGTCACTCGGCCCACATGTCCAATCCTCACCCGAGTCTCTCTAGATCAGTTCCCGACTTCTGACTCGTCGGCACCAATCCTAAGCCCGAGATCAGTCACTCGGCCCACAGGTCCAATCCTCGCCCGAGTCGCTCCAGATCGGTTCCCGACTTGTGACTCATCAGCATGAAACTTGAGCCTGAGATCAGTCACTCGACCCACAGGTCCAATCCTCGCCCGAGTCGCTCCAGATCGGTTCCCGACTTGTGACTCATCAGCATCAAACACAAATCCAAGATGGGTTACTCGGCCAACAGGCCATCTCCTCTCAACTCACACAGCTCGGCCTCCTGACCAGCGACTCGCCAGCATCATCCTGCATGGGCCCAACTGCCCGACCGACAGCATAAAATCATTCCTAAAACACAAGGCACCACCCTCGAACTGCCTCAAGACAAGCCAATCCAGCTTCCCCCACGAGCAATCAACACAACCGTGGCATTCCAATCCAGGCGCGCCTCTCGCCCCCTCAAGGACCCCACGGCACGCCTTGATGGGGGGGGGGGGGGGAAGTGATAATGCATACTTCGGACTCATGCCACATCACAATTGATACCATGCCATGCCATAGCTAAGTCAGCTAGAGAAGCACCCCCCACTCATCGAGCCAGCAATCGTATCAAGACGCCACTCGGTATGTCCCATCCCGGTAAGCCTGGGACAGCGTCGCATGGCATCATTCCGCACGTCCCGAGACGACGACTGCATAAAGGTACCATCTCATCCCTCGAGGATCAGCCACCATGCCAAACCCGCGTACGACTGACCCTTGTACAATAGTATAAAAGCCCTTGGTCGGTATCCGGCTAGAGAAGGGGAAAAAAAGAGGCAGAATGCAGAATCCCACACTGACTTACTTGTCGAGGGGCCATAATCGATAACGGCCCGGTAGGGGCCTTGAAAACGGTAACGTCCGAGGTGAGGCTATCCCGATCGATATAGGCGTCCTTCCTCCCGACGTGCCAATCAGCATCCCAGCGAAGAGACGTCAATATTGCGGGGCCAACACACCGACTGAAGGGCTCAACCGACACCGGCATTCAGCTCAGCCGACCGAAAACTCCCCACATCGCCCCGTGGACCAGGCCGTGCTAACTCATCAGCCACGACATATCAATAATAACATAATTATAGTTTTTATATTTAGAGAAAATATTATAATATTATATTCTAAAAGAGAGAAAGAACATAAAAGAAACTCTTATTCCAAACCTACAATCTCGAAAGACCTTGTGATTCTAAAAGAGAGAAAGAACATAAAAGAAACTCTTATTCCAAACCTACAATCTCGAAAGACCTTGTGAAGAAAAAATCATATTCGACAATACACATAAGTAGAAGGAACATATAAAAAACCTGGGTTGAATGAATGGCTTGGAAAATTGAATAAATAAATAAAAAATTCGTGAACGGCAGGATTCGAACCTGCGCGGGCATAGCCCACATGATTTCTAGTCATGCCCGATAACCACTCCGGCACGTCCACAAGATGAGACTCTCGTCTTAAAATTAAATATATTTTATTTAAAAAACTTAGTCTAATTTTTCATTCGTTAATACATATAGATCGTTGAAACGGATTCGAACCTGGTCTGATCGGAACCGCAGTGGAGTTCTTGATTCCGACGCACCGCTTCCGCTTTCCCTTTGCTCCTCCATCCTGACGACCACGACGCGAGGGGAGCCAAAACAAGGGTGAATCGTAAATCCACCCCATCGGGCGCTCTCCCGGCATGGGCAAGCAGGGAAAGGAACGAGCCAAAGCGAGGCGGGAGCAGCGGCTCCAAGAGATCTCCCGGCTCCGGAAGCTACCTTATTCATCTGTTGACAGGTCGGGACCCCTTCGCTCGCCACACGCCCGCCACCCGTTCGTCGAATTGCCTCCCTCTACCGACTCTTTTTCACCCTCCCTTCTTTTGTCCTTCTACTAGATGGTGGTCGTCGGAGACGGTGGCCGTGGTGACGGGCGCTAACCGGGGGATTGGTTACGAGATAGCGCGCCAGCTCGCCGTCCATGGCCTGCGCGTCATCGTCACCGCAAGAGACGCCGATCGTGGCCGTGCCGCGGCGGACGGACTCCGGGGCGAAGGCCTCAACGTGGAGTTTCGGCAGCTTGACGTTTCGCGTCCTGAATCCGTGGAATCATTTGCAAAGTGGATCGCTGAGAAGTATGGCGGACTTGACATCCTGGTGAGGAGCTTTTACATTTTGACGCTTGAATTCTTATGCTGGGATTCTCATCGTGATATTGATGGACAGAGCGGTTCTTTTGATGCGCTTGCCAAATAATTACATGTCAAGGATTCAGTGGTAGAAGACGTAGAACGTTTATAGAACATATTTGGCCGCGCAGTAAGCCGAGAGATGAACTAATGGCATGTGTTAAAGTTTATTCTGCTCTTCCTAGTTCACACTAATTCAATTTGGTTGGATGTCAATTGAGGCGCCTGTGAGCTGGAATGCTTCTCCAGAGCCTATAAAGAAACGATAATGAGGACACAATCAATAGACTCATGAGAGCATTAACACAGGTCAGGAGACATCCCATTTTACCACCTTTTTTTTATGATAAGAATTAGGCCTTGTGAACTCAGACTTAAGGGCCAGCCACATGAAAATTTTATGTTTAAGAACTCATAGAAAATTAGCCTATAAACAAACGACAAGGTGGACATAATCAATAGACTCACGAGAGCATTTACACAGCTCAGGAGACATCCCATTTTACCACCTTTTTTTATGGTAAGAATTAGTACTAAGTGAACTCAAACTTTAGGACCAGCCACATGGCAAATTTATGTTTAAGAACTCACAGAAAATTGCTTCATGTAAGACCACCTCCAGCTGACTGAACCTGTTTTTTTAGTTAGACGTGTTCTATTCTGCAGGCTGGACTGTTTAGTAAATTATTGGTTTCCTACTATGACATAGGACAAGCGATATGCATGTTGCTCTAGTGATGATGTGACGTAAATAAGAGTTTCAAAACAACTAGTGATTAGGTTATAATCATTATGACCCAGGCTGATGAACTCGACAAGCTCTGCAAGTGGCTTAAGAATATTAGTGTCTCGGAGGTGAAAGTGGTTCAAGGTTCTGAGATTGTTGTCGCTACTGAGAGCGTCATTGGTTCCTCCAACAAAAGAAGGTTGAAGCTACTGCCCTTGGCCTTGGTCGGTACAAATTGCTGCTGTTCGAGTGATGGAGGTGGCAGCAGATGGAATTGCATAATCGATGATCAGAGGTGTTGTTATCATTGTAACTGGTACTCCATTTTGGATTATAGGTTTGGCTGTGCCCCTAAAGTGGCAACATGCATGCACATATTTGAGGCATATACAAAGAAGGTTTGTAGACTAGTTGCCTAATGATATGTAAGTATATTTGGATCCATCACTAAGATGTCTGGGACAAGCAAATTTCACAGCCATGACGTGTAGTAGATTCTATCAGCAAATCCATCTAAGAATGAGACTGTCATAGGTGAATTTGATGCAACACGGTTGGTGGGACCACTGGTAGTTATTCGAGTCCTGTGTTATTGCAACTTGTGGAGATTACTCAACTGGTGGTGCTTCCACTGTTTTCTTGTCTCGAGCCACATAAAATTTATTTTGGCACTTCGTCGTGTCAGTCGTGAAAACATGGTTTGATGAAGCTTGTGGCGCAATCATCGTTTTGCACCTTTGCTCAATCTGTTGGATGTTAGGACTTTTTAATTGTATCAGTTGAGTAAATATAGTAACTCATCTTGTTTTGGAAGTGGTCTTCTTTTAGACAACAATTGTGGACATCTCTAAAAGCTATGATGGGGCACAAATCAAGACTTTTTTATATTAAACTATTAGGAATAGATTCTCTTAACTAGGTTTTCTTCATATCAAGGAAGAGCAAGACCTCCAAAGATATAATCAAAGAAATAAATTACTATATATTGCTTAAAATATTAGGAAAAAACAAAGAAAATGACATATTTAGCCTCAAAAAAGGTTTTCAAGCTCTATTGATGAGCTATTACTTATCTATTCCAAATGATAGTCAAACTCATGAAAAAAATAGCTATTTATCTTGCTTCCATTTAGCACTCAGTATCCTCTTTCTAGGATTTTTGGGGATACTGACTGCCGTCGGCAATCCCTTACATGGTCAAAAAAGTCAATATTGACTGCCATTGCCAATCCCTTACATTTAGCATTGGGTTATCCTTTGTACACTTACTCTCAATCATGTTGCAGGTAAATAATGCAGGCGTCAACTTTAACACAGGCGCTGATAATTCTGTTGAGTTTGCTGAAGAGGTCATTGCCACAAACTATTTTGGGACAAAACGGATGATCGAAATCTTTATCTCAATGATGTGTCCTTCTACTTCTGGTGCTCGAATACTGAACGTTAGCTCAAGGCTTGGCAGAGTCAATGGTAGACGGAATGTAAGATGCAGAAACTTTCTAGATGCTTCTCCTGTCTTAAGTAGGTTTGTCAATAATTGTTGTCCACATATGTCCGCATTCTTTTCATGATCTTAAACTAGCGTTCCAAGCGTGTTCAATATGAATCACTCACTTTCATACTTATGCTTTTGTTGGACTCTTGGAAATTGCTTTTCATTTTTTTTTTTCAGAGAGTGGGCGACATGACCTTGAGAGAGCAATTACTAAAAGATGATTGCCTTTCTGAGGAGCTGATTGATGATATGGTCACTAATTTCCTCTGCCAAGTGAAGGAGGGAACTTGGGCATCAAATGACTGGCCTCAGATGTACACAGATTATTCAGTATCAAAACTGGCAGTCAATCTGTTCACCCGACTAATGGCACGGAGGCTCGCCGACAGACCAGAAGGTCATAAGATCTACATAAATTGCTACTGTCCAGGATGGGTGAAGACTGCTATGACAGGTTGGGCAGGAAATACTTCAGCTGAAGAAGGTGCAGATACTGGAGTTTGGGTTGCGTTGCTACCTTGCCAACTATTGACCACAGGAAACTTTTTTGCTGAGAGGCGTGAGATCAGCTTCTGAATTCAATCACCTACTCTAGCCAGTCTGCATTAGCCCTTGAAATGATGGAAACAGCTCGGTATTGAATCAAGCACTTAACTAACCACCGTCAAGGTGGCACTAACCCTATTAGTGTATGTAATATTTATGTAAACTCATGTTTTTCCTTTGGTGCATCAGATATATTGGGTATATTTGTTGTATGTCATTTTTGTTCCCATCGGCTTTGGATTCATATTCAGTTGGAACTTGAAATAAACATATTTATCTTGCAATTTTAAGTTTTCAAATAGATCACAAGCTAGAGTTACGTTGTCTTTGTTGGTTTTGATCTTATGAAATATCAAAGATAAAATTGTAAATTGGGTGTTCGATATAATACTTGTATATGTCTATGTCTTTCAACTTTGTTCATGTTTTATATAGCATGCAGAGCTTGCAATAGGATTAGTAACTTCATTTTAGTTGGCTTTTGTAGTCATTTTAAGCTTTAAATATAGGTTGTGTGTAGTTGTCACGCGGAGACAAAACTATATACAAACAAACCATCCAGACAATCATTTTGGGGTTTTTTAAGCTCTGTAAAGTGCTACGGAGTGTCAATCAGCACAATATCTACGAGCTCCCTGAGTTGCATGTGGTTGGATGGGCTTTTTAGGTAGTTTCTAAGGTTGGTTTGTTGTTTTATTCTACAATAATGTGGACACTTGTGGAGACTTTTAATCACAGTGGATCACCTTAGACCTTTTATCATGCGATCGTTCAAAGCTTACAGTAATTTGTATTGTCTATCAAGTGTTTGTTGAAATGACTATTTGTTTGTTGGATCTCGAGTTAAATGCTTTCTCTAACTCGTCTTCTCTTTTACAGGTTCTTAAGAGATCATAAGAAGTTTTGAGGAGGTTAACCTTTTGTAGATGGATACGTAAGGATATTGCACGACTTAGGTAAAACCAACTAAGTCTGTAACATATGGTATCAAGGTGGGACAAGCACACTTAGAAACACTTAGCATGCAAATATGGAGGATCTAGCGGGGCTACGTTAAGAGCAGCCATCTTGTGCAACCGTTTAAGAGAAATGGGCATAGAGACGTAGGGAAAGGATCTGCTCATAGGAGTGGAGATTTAAGATTGGCATTTAGAGGAATGACCAACCCTTCACACGAGAGGCACTACGAGGACAAGCGAGATTGGAAGAATGCATAGCACATGGCTAAGTTCAAGTTACGGCTCGACGTTGGCAACCAAACTTAATGGTGCTCATGTTAAGCGCTTGGCAAAAGATATGACCATACAAAGAGGGTTGAGTTGCTCAGCGACCAAAAGACTTGTGCAAAGCTCATAGGGGTGAGGGGAATTGCCAACTTGAAAAATTCGATGCTCATGCAAGGGCTTATATACGAATGACAGACTGTTCATGACCATCCCAAGGTGAACGAAAGTCGGTGCCATGAAGCATTAAAACTTTCTCTTTGATATGGGAAGGATATGTTTGTAAGAGAATGAAGTTAGAGGAATGGCCAACCCATCACGCAAGAGGCGCCACGATGTCACGACCTTAGCTGGAATTGCCTAAGGCGTGAGGCACCCTTGCGGCAAAGACGCGAACTTAGCTTGCGTTGCCTAAGTTGCGAGGCACCCTTACGGCAAAGACGCGAACTTAGCTTCGTTGCCTAAGTCGCGCTTCGCCCTTGCGATTTGCGTCTGCAAAGATCAGCCCACTTGCAACCTCTCGCAGGTCCCGAAGGACCTGTAAAAAGAGAAAGTTGATTAGTTCGAAGAATGAGCGACGGACAAGTCCCGACGTCTCGCGAAAAGGGGAAGCTTTACAAGCAATTCAGCGAGCACCTTACGTGCACAAGAGAAAAGAGGGAGAGGGGGGAAAACAAGGACTTTAGAAGGTTGAACGAATAGCTGCAAGTCCACAAATAGTTGCTCACTAGGTGCCGAGCGCGACAACAAGTTCCCATCAAGGTAACGTGCGAACTTGCGAAAGGTTGTTCAACGCCCGACACTATACCAAAGCCCCATTCAGCCCTGTGCCACCTGGGGGGTTCCATGGTGCTAAGATGGCTGACGTTTCGCGTACAGTAGCGGGCTGTAGAAATCAGCCCATGGCACGCGAAAACGAAGCTGTTTTGGGGCTGTTTTGCTAGATTCGGTGAGCGGTCGCACTGTAGAGCTGCAACTTATTCGAACTTACATTTTTACAAGCAAAAGTACTTAAAACCAAGCCAAAACATGCTGCCAAGTAGCTGTACATGTAGATTAGAGCGAGAAATGGTTCGTTGAACGGAGTTGTTGCAGGTGCACGACGACCGTTCGTGACATTCTCCCCCACTCAAACAGTTGACGCCCTCGTCGACGCTTGTTGATAGTTGTTGATGATTGCTTCTTCATGTCATAGGGTGTCTTCAGGCTCCCAACTGGCTTCAATTCGGGGAAGCTTTCGCCACTTCACCAAGTACTCGGTCTGCTCAGCTCCAATGGGTAGCTTTATCTTACGGTCCGCTAAAATGGTTTCAACTCACTTCTCATAGGAGGCTGTGGTGGGGGGTAGCCGAGTTGGAACACTTCGGGAAGCATCTTGCGGATCCGAGTGGTAGGCTTTCAAGTTGCTGGTATGAAGAACATTGTGAATTTTGAACCATGTCGGCAGTTGTAACTTATAGGAGATATTGCCCACCCTACTGATAATTGGGAAGGGCCCTTCATCCTTGCACACCAATCCTTTATGTACTTTATTACTAAAGAATTGGGAAGGTAGTCTTTGCTTCGTCGCCTTCAGCAATGTGCACCTGCAAATACCCCGATCGAAGGTCGAGTTTTAAGAAATACTTGGCTTTGCCCAACTAGTCGAATAAGTCCACGATGAGCGGGATGGGATACTTGTTCTTCATCGTCACTTTGTTGAGGGCTCGATAATCGATGCATAGTTAGAGGCTCCCATCTTGTTTCTTCTAGAAGAGAATTGGAGCCCCAAATGGTACTTTAGAGTTGCGAATGAGACCACCGCTTAGCAGCTCACCTAACTGCTTTCTGAGTTCTGGCAACTCTAGCGGGGGCATGCGGTAGGGTGGTCTCGTTGGAGGCTTCACTCCTAGCTCCAGCTCGATGTCGCGCCTCTGCATGGTAGAAGAGTCTTCGGCAACTCGAGTGGCATAACGTCATTGAACTCTTTTAGGATGTTCGCCGCCACAATAAGTTCATGAGCGGCCTTCTCGTCAAATGGCTCTAGCTTCATAGCAACCACGAATGTCAGTTCGCCTTTTCATACCCCTTTCTTCAATTGTAATGTCGATATATGTTAGGGTTTCTTGGTTCCCCTCCGAGAGACGAGAACCACACAAGGGTCGTCACCTCCCATCACACATAGGGAGTTAAGAAACGACATTGGCACCAACTTCGTCGCGTGCATAAACTCCATTCCAAGAATCACTTGGAAGTCATCTATGGTACCGCCATCATATTTATGCTCCCGCTCCATGTTTCGATCTTGATGGGAACTCCCTTTGCCAACCCGGAGATTCGCCTAGCCTCCGAGTTCACCGCCTTCATTCGACTCGGGCTCTTCTCCAAGATTAGCCTAAGTCGTTTTTCTTCTCGATCGGCAATAAAATTGTGGGTAGCGCCCGTGTCCACCATTGCATGGGTCATTTGGCCATTGAGCTTAATGTCTACGTACATCAGCTTACCACTTCCTGCTTTTTGTAGCCTTGTCTTCGTGTTCTCCCCCACTTGACCCCACATGGCGTTCAACAAATACATTGCTCCCATCCGGGATCCTTGCGACTCCTCATCGTCGCTGCTGGATTCAGAACTACTTAAACTAAAAGCAATAGCCTTGCCCTTATCCGATTTGGGGGGATGGATGGAAGCTGTTAAAGTATTGAGTGCCTATTTTTGTGGGTACTCCCTCACCATATGCGGCCCTCCACACAAGAAGCATCCGCCAGGTTTCAGGGCCTTGCCTTTCGGGCTTGGCCCTTTGTGGGAACTTTTCTTCTTTTGTTCGCCCCCGAGCTCCTTCCCTCGAGAATATTTTGGAGGGCGATTGCTTGAAGGTTGTTTCCTTCTTCCTGAGTCTTTAAAGGAAACAAAGTTGGTGAGCCTTTCTGCAGCAGCAATTGCCCCGATCAAATCGGTGACATTCCTTCGATGTAGTTCTTATTGTGCCCATAGCTTCAAACCATCGAGGAAGCTGAACAGCTTATCCTTCTCGGACATGTCCTGGATGTCCAGCATTAGCGCAGAAAATTACTTCACGTAGTCTTGGATGGAAGCATTTTGGCGGAGTTATCTCAATTTCCTTCTTGCGACGAACTCGGTGTTCTCCGGTAGGAACTGAGTTCTCAACTCTCGCTTCAAGTCCTCCCATGTGTCAACTCGATATCGACCTTGTTGGATCTCCTCCCAATGGATTTGCCACCAAAGTTTTGCATCTTCGTTCAAATACATGGTCGCTATAGAAACTTTGGTTTCTTCAGAATCAGGCCTCATAGCTCGGAAGTATTGTTCTATATCGAACAAGAAATTCTAGAGCTCTTTGGCATCTCTGGCCCCTCCATAACCATGAGGCTTGGGTGCCCTCGAGTTCTGTGGCTGCGCAACACAGGTGTTGCTTCCTTCTGCATTTAGTGCTCTTGTGAGCATGGTCACCCTCGAAGTGAGTTCCGCCACAACTTCCTGCAGGTGTTGCACGGAGTCTTTGGTGTCATCTAACAATCGGTCAACTAGGGCCTCAACCTTGTCAATCCTGGACTCCGCTTCTTCTTGCGAGCTCTTTACCCCAACAAGCCTTCGTTGGCCATAGTAGAGTTCCTCCAAGCTCGCTTCAAGAACATCCAAGCGGGTTTCCGCCGTTGTGAGTCTCTCCTTATGACTCTTTTTCCCGGTCGGTGCTCCAGATTGCGCCTCCTCCACTCACAGAGAGTAGCCAATTTCTCGATCATCATGTTCGCTGCCATGCTCCTCATGAGTGGCTCCAACAGCATGAGAGCGAGTGTGCACTTGCAGCCCACCTATGGCTGCTTGGGGCAAGGGTCCGGCTTACCCTGTCTTGCTTGATTCGCCACGATGCTTTGCCATGGTGAAGTTACAAAGTTCCTTCGCTGCTCGCTCGAAGTGCTTGCCCGCTTTGATACCACAATGTCATGGCCTTAGCTGGAATTGCCTAAGGCGTGAGGCACCCTTTGAAAGTTGAACGAACAGCTGCAAGTCCACAAACAGCTGCTCACCGGGTGCCGGGGGCGACAACAAGTTCCCATCAAAGTAA